GTGTATGTGTGTGTGTGTGTGTGTGTGTGTGTGTGTGTGTGTGTGTGTGTGTGTGTGTGTGTGTGTGTGTGTGGAGGCGAGTGAAGGGGAAAAACAGAGGAGGAAGAGGAGGCATTGTCGAGGAGGCTTAGGTCTTTGTCCTAATCCTAATCTTGGCTAATTCCTGTTGCCCAGAACCATTAGAGGATAGAAACGAGCCACACAGCTGCCTCTTTACAAACCTCAAAAACCTTCCAGATGGAAACACACACACACACACACACACACACACACACACACACACACACACACACACACACACACACACACACACACACACACACACACACACACACACACACACACACACACACATTATTACCCACTCACACAGCTGGGTTTCCATTCAAGTATTTTTATTCGAATTCCGATGAACTGAATCAGAAAAGTAGAACAGAGGCGGCAAATTATGATAAAACTTCTCAAATATTGCAAAAGATTACTCCTCATGTTGACTAGGTTTATGTCAATAAAGGCAGAAGGAGAGGAACAGACCCATACACCAATTTCTATTTCTATTTCTATTTCAACTCATCTGACGGAAACATTTCTTGTGTGAAGAAACTGAGAGATCAGAAAAAAAGAGAGTAAGCATTCATAATTCATACAGATGCGAGCTGCAGGTGTGTTTTCAATATGGACAAGCTCATGCCGACGTGCTGCTGGTGTGTTTTGGAGGTCTCTGAGTGTGCGTGCAGGTGTGTGTGTCGTCTTTAGTCACAGCAAAGGTGCACAGTAACAGCTGGAGAGCAGGATGGAAGACAGGCACGCCTATACACATCTCTCTGGCACAGATAGCGTTGAGGTGGGACCGGAGCTGTTAAGAATGCCTGCAGTCTGTTCCGTGTGTGTGTGTGTGTGTGTGTGTGTGTGTGTGTGTGTGTGTGTGTGTGTGTGTGTGAGTGTGTGTAACTGTTGCTGTATCGTGTCAAACAGGCCTGTTTGAACAGCTAACTGAACTTTATGTGCCATATCTTCCTCACGTCTATCTCTGACAGACAAGTGAGGATGTGGCAGGAAGAATTGCGATTCTGTGTGTCGGGATCTGACTGCGTGGACAAAAAATTTAAAATAAAAAAGCCCATGATGCTAATTACCATGATGTGAGCAGAGGAGCAGCATAAACACAGTGAACCTTTGTGCACTGATACATTATTTCAGAGTATTTTCTGCATGTTTGATCTGTGTGTGTGTGTGTGTGTGTGTGTGTGTGTGTCTGTGTGTGTGTGTGTGTGTGTGTCTGTGTGTGTGTGTGTTTCTGCAGTGGTGCATTTGGATGACAGCGGGGGATCTCCCACAGCAGAGACATATGGAAACAAAGGTGCCCTTGTGTTGTTTAGCTCTGACCACACGATTTCACAGAAGATAACATTCCTCTGTTGTATCCACCTCATAGTTTAGTCATTACAGACACAGGAGGAACTGCTATTTGCATAATATGAATGTGCGTGCATGTATTTTTAACTGTAATATATGGAGCTGATGTTGTTTGTGGTTGCAACCTGAGGCATTTTAGGACAACAATTCCAAAACTGTGCCATATCACATTGTTACTGCAACCTCCTGCCTGTTGCGTTCCACCAAATACACACTCGGTATGCATAAAGGATGTGTGCACGAATATAAGTGTGTGTGTGTGTGTGTGTGTGAGTGTGTGTGTGTGTAATGTGTTCCAGCTTTGTGTCAGCTGTGAGTTTACAGGCAAGACAAAATACAGAGCTTCACCAAGGAACAACTCTGCTCCTAATAAAAAAGAGAATCTCAATACTGGCCTCATGAATGACATACTTTCCACTGCAGGATGCTGGAAGTAAATGACATCCTCTGTGGACTTCCTCCTGCCATTCAAGTTGCCCACTGTGGCTTTGAAGTACTTGTAAAGCAAAACACAGTTCGACATGTGATTTTACATCTTTGGTTTCACCGTTTACTTTAGGTAATAAATATATCACTAAATAAAAGTCACATTGACTGACACACAATGGTGGTACAAGCTACATTCAGTTCATGTAGAATATCAGACAGCTATATCGGTGGATATTAGCTTAGATATGTCATTATACTGATATGATAAGTAACAAGAAATTGCAGAACAGAAAGGTTAAAATAGGTTTGTGGTCATTTAGTTAACAGTGTCAACATTACATAGTTCACTAGAGAGCACTGACAAGTTTATTTTTAATGGGCCAGTGTACTTGTTGGATGAACCCCCCATGTACACTCTATACACATAAACAGGGACAAAGCAGGGGAGTGGTTTTTTGGGCTCCGGCCCAACATTTTCTCAAAAGCCCTGAACCTTTTCAGCTTTTAAAAATAACTTAATTTACCCTCGGGTTCTCTGACTGGACTGGCAAATCAGTGGAGCAAAAGTTCTATTAGTGGGGAAATATCACCAATAGATCTGCCCTAACATTGTCATGGGGGGGTTGGTGCCTTATGGGTGTCATGTTTCATTCAGTTGTGTCACCTCAGTGAGCAAGCTTGCCAGCTAGGTAGCAGCTAAACACTCATTATGTGAACTCCATATAGGTTGCAATAATAGGTTTTCAAAATTAGTAACTATGTAATAACTTAAATAACTTTTAATGGTGGAAACGAGTCATCTTGTGCATTTGTTGTGTTCTGGTTTCATTTGGAGATAAAATAAGATACAACATACGATATAGGCTCTACAGGGGGATTTTTTGCTGGGAAACTATCATGTTTTTCTTGGAATTCTATGATCTCAACTGGCTTTAAAAATAGTACATATTTCTGCTGTAAATGGGGAAGCAATCTCATGCGGACCCCCTAGGTTTGGCCCTAAATGTTTCCAATGTCTGCCACTGCCCTGCACGTAAAGTCAATTTTTTTCTGACTTACTACACTCATTGAGGGTTGAACGCATTCAGTGTAAACACTGATGGAGGACTACAACTGCTGCTAACATGCTCATTTTGCTATGGAGCCATTGTACATAAGGTGTAATAAAATCCAAATAATAAAAAAAAAAAAATAGAAAAAAAATAGAAACAAGTGTCTCCAAACGTATCTCATGTATGTTGTGTTTGCTTTTGTGCAGAAGCATATTCCAGCCCTGAGATTGAAGCATTTGGCCTATTTTGGTCAAAATACTCTTGTTTGCACACAGATGGACAGTGGAAAACTGGATTGTGCTGCAAGAGTGGTTTAAGAAGTTTCTGGAAAACAATGCAAGCATGCTAAACAGTTCTCACAATTAATGCAGAGATTGGTTGAATTTTCCTTCTTTTTTGCCATTGCAAGATCACAAATTCCCAAAGGGGCTGAGTCATACCGCAAAAACACTCTCAAACCCATGTATACTCAACCACCTAAGAATGGGAAGACAAAGGAGAAAAAAAACCTTGACTGTCATCCCCTTGTGTACGCTCTCTCTCTCAATTTTCTAAATATTTAGACAGATAGGACAGAATTTCCTTTCTGCTCTGAAAACCCCATAAATCTACGATCAGGAGAAGGCCAGGAAAACAGCACACTCATCATCAACTGGCTGAGTAATGCAGCAACCACAGGGTGGACAGAAGCCAGGAGATTCTGTTTTTGGTTTCATTAGAGGCAAGACAAGCCAAGGGAGGAAACAAAGTCAACTATGCAACAATCATGGAATGAACGGAGACAATTACTGTAAGGGACTCAAGATGAGTTAACGGTTCAGCTCCAGAGGACACACTTCCATGAGCAGCATCCCAAGGTGACAGTAAAAATGTATCCCTGATAATAACTTAGAAACCACTGAGCACTAAAACACTGACACAGGCCGTCTGGTCACCATCTATGCAGTGATTTACTATGATGTAATCCAGACAAAGACATACCATAAAACAAGTTTTGATACACTCATGGCATCAAGAAAAAGGTAATCTTTCCAGGAACAGGCTTGTTTTTAACTTGACTTGTCAGTTGAGTTTAGAAGGAGTTTCAAACCAGAACCATGTAATTGTTCAGGTGAAGTTAAAAACATAAAATGACCCAACACTGGACCCACAAGGTTTGCACAGGACGGCAGCGATAATACCTAACCTACATTTCACAATGTTGATTTCACATATTTGACTTAGGTCTGAAAACCACACGACCACACTAACCTCACCTCCCAGGAGCCTGCTCGACTCATGTTACTGTACCTCATAAATCCTTAAGCATCCTGCTGGAGGACTATTGTGCAACCGCAGTGACACAGCCAGTGCCTCGTATGACACATCCACAGAGCAGCCACAACGCACCACAGCCTCAATGGCATTCCCAGCCGAGAAAATTATATTGCAATTACTGGATTACCTCCTCTGCAATTGCATATTCAATTTCCATCCATGTTACAAAGTATCCGGCAGTGTAAAGTGGTGGGTCACTACAAATATGTCAAGAGCTTCTGTGTGCAACAGCAAAGAGGACACAAACTACAATTATTGTCTTGGATGAGCTTCCTTGAGACTTGAGTTTAAGGCAGTTCTTGACATGTAAAGCAGTGATTTCCATCAAAGGGTACTTATACCGCAGGTGGTACTTCTGCTTCTGTAGTTGAACTTATTTGATCAAATAGAAATTATTATTATAGTCATGGCATATAGTGTGTGAAAACTGGTGAGCAAGTCTAAACAGCAAGTGTATGGATAAATGGTTGAAATAGATAGCTAAAAGTAGACTAATTCAATTAATAAAAAAGAATATAAAAAGAAAGGATGAAGACTATCTAAAAGTAATGTTTAAATAGATGACTGAATGTAAACAGTTAGTGGCTAATAGGCTGAAATAGATAGCTTACAGTAGGCCCTAATGGATCGATGGTTGAAACAGTTAGCTAAAAGTTGTGGCTAGATGGTTGAAACAGCTAAATTGATTTATATTGAATGAATACATTTGGAGTATGTTGTGTGGCGCTGATGAAGGGGCACTTGAGTTCATTTGACAGGGAGTCTCTACAAACATGCAGTACTCACATTAGTCTTGCTGGACACAGCAAACGTGGCTCGGCTGGAGAAGCGGGTGGTGGATGGGCTGCTGCTTGACACTGGGCCGGTCACCATGGAGGAAACTCTGGAGCCCACAGGGGGACTGCTGGAGCCGGGGGAGGATGAGAGGGTTGCAGGCGGGGACGCAGGACTGGACTGGCTGCTGAGGCCACTGTAGGTCTGGGCTTGGCTCCCCAGGCTGCAGGGCTGGATGTGGAGTTGAGCCTGGCTCTGAGTGTGAGTGTGAGCCTGACCCTTCCCGTAGATCACCTCCTTCATCTCCTGATGGTTCTCCTGAATGTCACTAAGGTGATTTTTGTGATTCTGATTGTGATTGTGGCTGTTGTTAAGCAAGGTGCTCCTGTCACACGTCATCCCACTCAGGAGCTCCACCTGTCGGGTGAGAGCCTCCAGCTGACTCCTGAGCTGCCGGTTCTCCTGCTGGAGCTGAGCCACAGCTCGTCCAAGAGGCCCGCTCAGGTTGGCTGTCTCCTCCAGGCGACGCTCCATGCCCAGCTTAAAAGCGCTGACGTCCACGTGGATCTCCCTGATGGCATCCCGGAGAGTGTTCTCATAACGGGCTAGAGCTGCACACACAGTTTCCCCCTCTGGAGAGGAAGACCGGGGGTGGCACAAGTCTCCCATGTTAGCCAGGGTTGGGGCTTCCATTGGTAACAGAGACAGCCTCTCAGTCTCAGAGATCCTCTGGTCACTGGAGAATGTGTAGCTTCAGTCAGAGTGCTGAGGGTTTGGCTGGAGGGGGGACAAGGGTTGGGAGGTGAAAGTTTGCAAGGGGGGCAAAAGTCTAGTCTGTTCTATCCCCACTCCTTCAGCTTCTTCCTGGGATATCCTGGACTGCCTCTCCTTCAATAAACTCTGCTTTCCAGGTACAGATGTCTCACTCAGTCTTCTGTCTGAAAGCACAAAAGGCGCAAGACTTGACCTTTAGCTTGTGGACAGCTGTGAAACTCTTAAAAGAGCCAACCAACCCAGGGGCAAATGTGATGCCCTGTGCAAAACTACATTACAAAATATCCCAGATAGTAAAAATGAAATCAAGGCTTGTACAAAATAACTTCTATTTAAAACCTGACAAACTTGATTAGAACAGCTGCTCTGACCGACTTTACTGCACTGAACAGAACAACAGAATCTGTTTAAGGAGTCAGAATGACAGAAAGAAAGCATACATCTCTTTGAGCCAGCTATGTTTCATAAGTGCCATTAAACACAGCAGTGAGGTAATCTTCACTCACAGCTGCAGCAAACCTACCTCAGCTCGGCTCTCCGGTACGAGCTCAGTAGAGTTTCCTCAGCGCTCAGCAGCTGTGTGAGTGTTGTCTGTGGAAGTGTGTGTGAGCTCTGCTCTGCCCTGCCGGCTCTCTGGTTTGTTTAAACTCTCAGGTTGATCACTCCTCTCTTCTGGCCCCGAGGAGGGAGGAGAAAGGAGAAAGGGAGGGATAAAGGGTGGTGGTGGTGGTGGTGGTGGTGGAGTGAAGAAACAACATGGGAAGAGTTGTAAATGTGAGGGGAGGGGAGGGGAGGGAGGCGGGCCGGGTTGCTTTTATATTCTTGCACTGTGTAAACTATTGGAAAGAGGACTCCTCTCTCCTGCTTTCTTACTGCACCTCCTCCTCTTCTTTCTATAACACATATTTCTATCCCTGCTCAGTGCCATCTTTTCCTTTCTCTCTGTTTTTGTTTTTTTAAGTATCTTTGATTTAGTGTTAACTGTGTTAACATATTGTAATTTCAATCATAAATACAGCATCAATATTGTTGCTATGGTTACTTCCCACAGTACCTTGTTTTGGTAAATTTGATGACTTTGATTGTGTCACAGAAAATGTCATGTCTATGACAGTAAGTTTAATTTATTCATTTTATGTTGCTAAAATAACTATTAAATGTTGTGTTGTCAGCACTGACACTACCGTATATATTCAGTGGACAGAGCTTTCGGGTCTGAGAAATGAAGCCAACACAGAAGTGCCTTAAACCTGCATTCTTTCTAATGGCCAGCAGGGGGAGCTTCATTGGTAGCAAAAAGACCTGTGATTGTATTCAACTCTGTTAAAAAATGATTAATTTAATTTATTATCTCGGTAAACAGTGTCCTGATAAGTTTATGGTCTCAATCACTAGTTTCAGTCTTCTTCCATACTGCATGATGTTCATTTAGTAAATTATGGTCCAGTTTAAAAGTGAAATAGATGATAAAGCGTTGATTCCGCTGGCTGCCAAAACCCACATATCGACGACCATAATGCCACCTCAAGGCTTTAAAACGGTACTCCACAAACTAATGGGTGATGTCATGATAGGTTTACACTTGGTTGGCAGCAGTCCCTCAGCAGGTCGCTCATTTGTGTTTTCCGCCATCTAGGGGTGCCACCATTACTGCGGTGGCAAGTCGTAGTGACTCTGTGACTGCTGCTGCCTGCTGAGAGACATTTTACTTATTAGTTGGACATTTGTTATGATTTTAGCCAGTAACAGAGAAATATGGACCACTTGACTCATCCGCCACATTTCCAGTAACTAGCTAGCATAACTAATCATTTAATCATCACAGACCAGTTATATTAGTAAAAGATTAATACACATGAATAAGAGCTTTTTCATATGTATTCAAGATGATTTAATGAATTGCCTGGCATGTGAACATGGAATCTATGTAGTGTCTGGTCTCAGACAGGGCCACTCTTCATCAAGTAAAGGCTTGTGTGTTTCGCATTCAGTTTTCTTTCCAAAGTTAAAGATTGTCACTACTGTTGGAGCTGCTGATAACTGCACAGCTTCTTCCTGATTTCCTAGACATCATTATAAATGTGATGTTACATAAAAAGGGAAAAGTAGAAAATTGTACACTTCTTTGAATAGCTTGCATCCAAACGTGACTTCTGGTGCTATAACCAATCTGAACACACCCCTGACCTTTCTCCTTTCTTCCCCCGATCCCTCCATCTCTCTCTGGTCTCTTTTCTCTGTGTCTCATTATCTTTCCATCCCCTCACTCTAATGGCATTTTGCTAAGATAAGAAATGCAACTGGTGGTTTTGTACACAGAAATGCAGCGTTGAATAAAGATATAAAGTCTGGTCAGTGATCATCATGTGGCAAACAGCCACAGGTCGACACAATAGTCAACTCTATTACAGAAAAGTGTTATTGTTCAATTTCCACAAAGACTGCATCTTCATATATCGCTACTTATTTAACACATATACTACAGATACACACCACATTTAGACAGACAGACACTGTATCCCTAGATGCACTCTTTACATTTTTCTATTATGCTCTGTTCTATTGTAATTGAGTTTGATGGCAGGACGAGACAGACAGACAGACAGACCGCCACCCTCCCCCTTGTAACTGGACCCCAGCAGAGCAAACATTCGACACCAGATAGTGATTTGTGTGTGTGTGTGTGTGTGTGTGTGTGTGTGTGTCTGTCTCTCTGTGTGTGGGTGTGTGTGTGTGTGTGTGTGTGTGTATGTGTGTGTATGTGTGTGTGTGTGTGTGTGTGTGTGTGTCTGTCTGTCTGTGTGTCCATGCAACAGGGAGACTCATACAAATACTTTGACATTCCACCCTCCTGCTTACTGTCAACAGTGTGTGTGTGTGTGTGTGTGTGTGTGTGTGTTAAGAAGTGTGTGAGAGACAGAGGTGCAAGAGGGAGCGTTGGGAGACGAGGAGGGGGCCTGGTGAGGTGATTTACTGGAAGATTGTCCCCCCCACCTTTCTCTCACTCTCTCTGTCTCACACACACATACTCAACACCCCCTAAGGGTTTTATGTGAGCCTGCTGGGGGCAGTACAAGACACAGACGGCAACAAACCATTGCAGAGGTCAGAGGTCATGGGCGTCAGCATCATCAGTCATCGGAGGTTGACGGAGATGGCTGCTGTGTCTTAGATTATGTCCACATTACTGCTGATGAATCTGTGAATCTTTTCCTTTATTCACACAGTTTTTCAAATGTTCTCACATGGGGCTGTATGCTTGTATGGGAAGTCTTTGGGTGGAGAGATATTTCCATCAATGCTGAATGTTCTGACTGGATAAAAAGATTTAACATGATGCTGTACTCAAATAAAAAATAAATAAAGTTAGCAACTAGCTACCAAACCAGCCTGGTCTCACTCCCAGGTCTTTAAATACTGCTGCTTGGTCAGTGGGCATAGTATGAAGAGAAGCATATAGAGCTGGAGTAGCGTACATAAGTTAACTTACGAAACATACTTAACGTAACTTACGATCTTTTCCTAACCAAGAAGTTCTTGTGCCTAATCCTGACCAAACAGCAACCCTTACACTGTCAACCATGCAAGCTTTGTTTTAAAACCCTAACCGTATTCCATATGTATTGTGTCTAACTTGACCGGAAGTTGCGGACATTGAATATTTATTCTGGCTAACTTCTTAACTGAGGTGCCCTGACGCAAGAGTGATACCTATAGTGTCATATTTCGAAGCGGAGGGCCACTGACGAGTTGAGAGTGAGAACATGTTCGACACAACAAAGTTGTCAAAGTAATGAGCAGCTAAAGGACCAGATATTTTTCTCAAGAGTTGGTGTAGACCAAAACTGAGCTAAAAGAAGAGTGAATACTGGACAGAAATAAGACTACAAATCAACGCTAATGTTGCTTCACTGCTGTTTGCTATCACGTTCCCTATATCAGCTTTATAAGGTGATATGTCAATCTTGCGTTTACTGCTTGTTCCCTAAGTGGCAAAAAAAAGAAGAAATCTACTAATACTGCTGTGTCAAATACTTTTCTTGTACTTTTCTTTGTGTAGCAAAATGATTTTTTTTTTTTTACATTGGAATGAAACAATTCTTCATTTTGGCATTCTGAAAGTCTCTGCGGCCCCAGTGTGGGGCCCTGGACCCCACTTTGAGACCCACTGCTTTCCAGTAATAGTGAGTCAGCAGGTAATGTGGTATGACCTGCGTGAATCAGAGTGGTATGAAATGAAAAACTTCAGCTCTCGTCACAACAATAGATAGACTCTCTCTCTCTCTCTCTCTCTCTCTCTCTCTCTCTCTCTCTCTCCCTGCCTCCCTTTTTCACTGTTTTGATAATGACTGAATATGTTTTACTTCTGTGACGCTGGCTCCCTCTGCACAGAGCTGAGGTTGTAAACGTCCACTGTGATTACTGAGGAGGAGAGGTCGCACACTTTGATTTCTTTCTCATCTGGTCTTCAGCCAGTAAAACTGTGTGTTGATACTGAAGAGACATTTGCAAGCACACTTCTTCCTCTGTGCAGGGCGTCTGCCTCCACTGATTAAGTGTGGATTAGGTCATGCAACAGGCTGGTAGACATTTGGGGCTTGTGATATACAGCACACTTATGGACACAAATATATCACTGTTGTCAAGAGCCGAACATCTGCAAAAGGTAAAAAGCAAGAAGTGAAGTAAGCCATTGTTATTTCCTCACTGGTGCATTTGTATTTTTTTTAAATAACTTCCGAACAGATCTAACGCCAAACAGGTTCTGAACTACAGAAGCAGACTGTGAGCAGAAAGTCACCCTTACGTAAATCCAAAAACCAGTTGGAGTACATAAAGGATATTCTACCATGCCGCAAAATGTACTGCCCAAGTGCTCACAAGTAAGGCACTGGAGTGGAAACAAGTTGTACTGGAAGGATCCTTGACGTGAAGCTCAGTTTTATCTTTAGTCTTGCTTTAATGGGAAAGAAAAAGTGATAAAGCTCGGGGAATGATTGTGTTCATGATCACTTTCCTAATCAGCTTTAAGTTTAAAGCTGCACTAAACAATATTTTTATATTAACAATGGACTAAACGACTAATGTCAAAGAGGTCACATAAAGAGGTTGACAAAGTCAAACGATTATCACCCCACTCTGCAGATGGCCTCAGCTTAAACAGAGAATTTTAACACCTTTCAGCCAATTGTTTTGTTTTTTAACCGCCTGCAACTTTATGTTTTGGTTTCCAGCAGCAGCAGACAGCTCTTTACAGTGACACAAATCTCAGAAAACCCCACCGTACTCTACACAGCAACTAGCAACACACAGCGGACACAAAACGTTAGCAGCTAACTAGCTTACTTCAAGCACGCACATATTGATTTAATGTAAGTGTTGTGTAAGTTGTACATCATATCAAACTCGTAGTTCATATAACATATTAGAAATGAATGTGTGACATATGTTCAGAGCTTAGAAGGATTCTGTCCCACTATTTGTAAGCTAGCTTGCTTCCCTGCTAAAATCAAGCAGCCTTTGTTGTTTTTGTTCCCACATTTGTTTCCCATTTTCATTACTGTTATGTCTATTAGTCATTGTCACGTCATTTAAGCAGCAAATCTCCCATGAAAGACTAACATGAGCTGACAGAACTCCATGGAGAGTTGAAATCCTGACGTCACGTCTGGGCTAGCTT